ATGATTCTGTGATTTAATGCATATAAATATACGGTATATAAGCGGTCGTGTCGTCCACTGGCCGTCCAAATGGTGGACCACTTAATCCCTGTCCAGACATCACACATATGTTGGACTCGATTAGTGGCGCAAAGAGTTGGCCGGTGTTTGTGTGGACACGACTCGCGTATATATTTCACTGATTTTTAGTTAATATTGTATTTAATTTAACCGTTAATGTAATGATATGTTTGGACCACTTCTTCACATTATGTACACTATCTATACATTAGATTCACATTAAATAGTGATTTAAACAATTAAAAAAGCAGTAATTAATTAATTAATAGATTTATATATAATATGATTATACGATAATTGGCACCAAATCTATGACATATTGAGACAATTTGTTGGACACAAGAGATGGCCAGTCATGGGTCGCACCCATTGTTTGCGAGTTTTTCATACAAAACATTAAACCAAACAAATTGTAAATTAATTTATTATAAAAAATGATAAGAAATATATTTAGTATTTAATGAACTCAAGCATAGATTTGGTGCTGAAATAATGCCATTCATTCACATGTCTTACACATAGACTTGACATTCATTTCGAGATAACAACTCTATTATTGTATTTCATTAATCATTTGTACAAAAAATCAATTAAAATATTATTGTTTTCATATAAAAAAGTTTGATATGTTTTATCAGTTCACACGACACTCAACTCAATCTATTCCTACTGTACTGTACTATCGGCTTATCAGTGCGCTATCGGTACAGTGTGTCTGTCATATATCGGTCAAAATGTTTAGCAAAAGCCATTGAATTTTGTCAAATGTATGATAAGTTCATTCATTGATTTTTATTGCTTTACTGTTAATAGTTTTAAGTTTGAGTTTACAGTTAAGTGCAAATAATATCACATTTCTAGGCTCACCACATGTACAGCAATCACCTTCATTGCCTATTTAAATAGCATTTAAAGTGCATGTACACTATTTTAAACATATGTTTAACATTTAGCATAGGGAAGTGTGTATAAGTGTGCATGGGCAAATATGCTATTTCAGGCACAATTAGTAAAAAGTGCACGAATTGAGTATTATTTATGATGCAATGCAGGAATGCGTTGAAATGATGAGCATATTGTGGTCAGTCTACTCATGCCATACATGAAAGTGTGCGACAGTTTGTGTGCCTTTGAGTGAAAGCATTGGCAATGCATTGACAACACAGACATTCGCTTCGCAGCCAATGAAATGCCGGCAATGAATGCATTTTGCAATTCAATGCCACACTCTCTGCACTCAACTCTAGTCACTCTTTCATCACTGTTTAAACACTTTGTTTGCGCTTTTGTTTTGCAGCCATTGTTAGCACCGGTTGTGCGCTAATTGTCTACAAAATAGTCGGACAATCTGTACGTCGAATGCGACAGACGTTTAACAGTAGTGTTTGATTGAGGGCTAGAATTGGCGCTCAAAAGGCATTCGAGACGTGAATTGAGATCTCATTTGAGTCCACATTCACTGCAAACACACTTTCATTCAATCACTCATTCATTTGATTGAGTTTTTAGTTTTTATTCAATTATTAAATCCATTATTAGTTTAAAGCAATTAAATCGAGAATATGTCCGACGATTGGGGCGATGAATGGGGAAGCGGTGGCACAACCACTGCCGCCAACACTGTATGTCCTCTTAGCACATGTGATAACACATGACTTCACGCTTTGTTACCACTAATTGTCACGTTTTGATTGCAGACAAAGCCAGCGGTGAGTTCGGGCGCTGACGACGACTGGGGCGACACGTCTGGAGGAGGAGGCGGTGGCGGCAACTCATACGGCGGTGGAGGCGGTGGCGGAGGCTTTGGCGGCTCGAGAGGTGGCGGCGGAGGCGGCAGTTGCTATAACTGCGGCGGAAGCGGACACATGTCTCGCGAGTGTCCGGAGCCGAAGAAGGAGAGGCCGGGCGGCGGCGGTCCGCGAAAGTGCTTCAATTGCGGAAACGAAG